CACATTCAAAATTCAGAAACTAAAGCCAGGAAGAAGCTTAACATCATGAGAAAACTTTCAGGGACTCAGTGGGGATCAAATGAGAAAACACTTTGACAGGTCTATCTGGGCACAATCAGTGGAACCAGAATCACTTCAACAAAAGTCATGGGATACGTAATGTCAGACCTTCACACTATTCCTACCTGAACCCATGGACTTTCAATAATGGGACTACCTTATAGACCTACAGATTAATAATAATAATAAGGATCATTTCTATAGCGGCCACTCCCGTGTAAACACAGCTCTAGGCGCTTTACATAAAAGCATGTAAGAACAATATTCATGCACGCGACACACACACACACACACACAAATTCACACACTCATATACACACAAACACACACACATACACGCACACAAACACACGCATACACACTCACAAACACATAACACGAACACATGTGCACACACATGTATGCCAAACACACACACACACACACATCTAATTTCTTATCACACGCACATGATTACACATCGTCACGAAATGAGCATAAAATAATATATACACTGCAATTTACAAAATACGTAAATGAATTCATAGACATTTACATAACATAGTATTGAACATGAATCTACTGACTTAAAAAGGATGTCATTAAATGTGTCGATAAAGACTCAGATGTATGTCTCAAGGGTTGGGGAAGAGAGTTCCAAACTGACGGAGCAAGGTGGGCAAACGATCTTTCAGCTAATTTTTTTTTACCGCCTTTTCTAGGAACTCTTAAAAGATACTGATCGCCCGATCTTAGTGATCTAGATGGAACATAAATCTGGAGGAGATCACTAAGATATGAGGGAGCTTTGTTATTGACACATTTATGACATAATATTGCAATTTAGATTAGAAGTGTGGTCAGACTTTTCCAATCCTTTGTGAACTAAGGCAAAACGTAAAACACTTTGTTCTACAAAATCTGCGGGAGCAGAGCCGAAGGGTAATAATAAACCACGTTTCAACGCCGAGCAAAGGAGACTGTCTCTCGTGACTGCCGCTACACAGAGCACATTCTCTGAAAGGCCAGAACTTATGTACGAATAGTGGGACTCTCTTTTATGACTTTGTAAAACTAAATCCACAAGTAGTCCTCATTTTGATAAATTAATTTACTGTGCCATCTACAGCTTTCAAAATGTGAACACTTGTTTGAATTCCGTCATAATTGGGATACGAGTCACTCTCTCTCTCACACACACACACACAAATACACGTGCATACACACACACATACATACACACAGACAGACACAGATAAACAATTAATGTACATACACACGCGCACACGCACTGTGTGTTGACGTTATCGCAGAATGTCACTAAATAATTCCTCTGATTTGTACGTAACTGGTCATGGGCAGGAACTAAATATTAATGAAGGTAGTCATGTGCACCTGTTTTTGAATGCTTTCTTCAGAAGAAAATGAACCACCAATAGCCAGATATGTTCCATCAGAAAAATGTGCCAATGTTTTTAAAAATTCAATTTATCGCATTAAAGTTAAAGGCAATGGGTTTTTTTAACTTTGACATTTTCCAATCTTTTGCGTTTTTCTCAAAAAATACTTTTTTACTATTGTGACCGTGCAGGGGAAATCGTTTTTCTGAAACTATCAAAGCTACAAGCTTGAAATTTGGTACACAGGTGCTGTATAAAATGTTCTGCGGGAATTTTGTGAAATATGGATAACTTTTTTAAATATTCCTGATTTTTTCTCATCATACCGGTACTCTTTTTTTTTTCGGCGCTGGTCCCATGATACATCAATATTTTTGTTGTTTTTAATGATAGAGAAAAATCCAAGTCTGTGATCAGAGATAATTTGTTTGTAAAGTTTGAGATTTGAATTTTAATATTTTCTGTGGAAAACAATTTCCCCGCAACATGGCCAAAAATCCAAGATTGTCGCCACAGAGACCAACTTTTTCATAATACTCGACAACTTCCGTCATGATTCTTCTAATTAGTCTATAATTAGCCTATATATATATCACCTTTAAAAGTTGAAAAAAAGTCAAACCCCTAGAAAAGTCCTCATATCATGTCTCATTTGTGCGGGCTACGAGTATACTCTTAACAAGGACCAGTCTGGGCTGCTAGGAGTATACTCAGAACAGCTATACAGTAATGTCAAACAGGTAACTCTGTAATCACCAAATTAATAATAATAATAAATTGCACTTATATAGTGCATTTCCACAAAGAAATGCTCAATGCGCTGTACAATAATACAAAGAACATATGAAGCGCACAGCTCCTATAGTAATCCTCTTCCTCTCTCTCTCTCTCACTAGTCTCACTCTGTCTCTGCGCCTCTCTCTCTCTCTCACTACTCTCTCTCCCTCTCTCACTACTCTCTCTCTCTCTCTCTCTATCTCTAGTACATCCTTGAGTAAAGACAATCCCACAAAGCTTACCCAGACACATTCGCACACATTGATGAATTCACACAGTCATAAATTCTTACAGAACAGAACAGCATGAATAAACGATACTGAGAGAACATAATAGATACTGAGAGAATATAAAATAATATTTGTATTGGGAATGTCAGAAATTACAGATTGAAGCTGGACTGAAACAAATGCGTTTTAAGTGCTGATTTAAATTTTGATAAAGTGGTGGACTCCCGTAGATGAGCTGGTAAAGCGTTCCACAGGGAGGGGGCGTGGTGTGAAAAAGCTCTCCCTCTGAGTCTCTGACTTTTGCTTTGGACAGGTCTTAAAAATCTTTTCGTCGCCGATCTTAAAGGCTGAGATGGTATGTATTCGATGACCGTGTCACAAAGATATGATGGTGCAATGTTGTTGACGCACTTAAAACAAAGAACAATTATTTTGTACTGAATTTTGTGCTTTCACCAGGAGCCAATGTAGTTGAACTAGCATTGGTGTTATTATATGCTCTTTGAGAGATTTTTTAAAAATTATGCAAGCAGCTTGGTTCTGGAGTCGCTGTAATCTATTTAACGTTTCAGTGGGAAGGTTTCCAAACAAAGAATTGCAGTAGTCTAGACGTGAAAGGACAAAAGAAGAGATGAGGGTTTTGATGGAATCAACACTAAGATATGTTGACATTTGTCCTATTCTGCGTAGTTGTAGATAAATTAATTACCTACATAGATGGTTTATATGATGGTGGTTGGAGAGTTTGCAGTCAAAATAAACGCCTAGATTTTTCGCTTTATCTGTGAAAAAGATGTTATCATTCCCAATACATATATGGTCAAAATTACAAAGCAATATCCCTGGTTTGGCATTGCAAAACAGAACTGCGGTCTTATCATCATTCATTTTAAGTCTGTTTGATATCATCCATTTTTTTACCTCCACAATACATTGTTCCATGCTGGTAACTAGACAATTGAAATTTGTTGGTAAAACAGACTTGTACAGTTGAGTGTCGTCCGTGTACAGTTGAGTGTCGTCCGCATACATGTGGTAGTTAACGTCATGCTTCCTAATGATTGAACCTAGGGGCTTTGTATATAGTGCGTATAAAAGTGGTCCGAGCACGGACCCTTGGGGCACGCCAAATTGCAAGCTGAAAATGGATGACATTTCACCATTTACAAGTATAGACTGTGTACGATTAAACAAATAGGACTTAAACCATTCAAGAACAGTCCCAGATAAGCCGAAGCTATGGCCTAACCTCCTTATCAAAATTGAATGATCGATGGTATCAAATGCAGCACTTAGATCGAGTAAGGCAAGAACAGACATTTTGCCTTCGTCTGCTTCACAAAGGAAGTCATTCTGGACTTTTAAAAGTGCAGTCTTTGTGTTATGAAACACTCTGTTGGCCGACTGATAACATTCTAAAAGATTATTTACTTCAAGATGTGCTCTTAATTGAGATTGAACAACTTTTTCTAAAATGTTAGACAAAAATGGTAGGTTAGAGACCGGCCTATAGTTCTTAAACTCATTAGGGGATAACAACTGTTTCTTTAGTAGAGGTGTTACGACTGCGTGCTTAAAACACGAAGGCACTGTTCCTGAAAGGAGTGAATCATTAATAATAGCTGTTACAACATCAATAACAACGTCAAGATGGTTGACTAATAAAGGTGTCGGGATAGGGTCAAGGCAGCAGGACTTCGGTGGTGATGACATGATCTCTTTCACTGTGTCCTGTGAAACAGGTTAAAAATTACATAGGAGGTCCCTGTTGAACTCCTCGAATTCAGGTGCAGATGAACCGTGTTTATCTAATGTGTCTCTTATTATAGTGGCAATTTTTTTCGCAAAGAATGTTCCAAAGTTATTTGCTAGCTCTCCTGTGGGAGAAGCACAAGGAATAGAAGCAGATTTAGATTTTCCAGAAAGTGAACAAACAAGGCGAAAGAGACTTTTAGATGTTTTCGACTTTGATATCATGTTATTGTAAAAGGAACGTTTCGCTACGATTATGAGTTCTTTGACTTTTCTGTGAAGTTGTCTGTATATGTCCGGCGAATATTAAAATTTTCTAATGAGCAGCGGTTTGTTTGTTTTTGATGTGTAGAAACTTGAAAGTTGTTTCGAAAACACACATTCACGACCAACGAAGTACTTCTTGAAGTGGCGCTAGGATGTCAGGGGAATGAGACTTATTTGATGAAAGTGACTCTGAAGCAAGTGCCCTAAATTCTGTTGTGGATGATAGCGAACAGGTATTAGACTCATCTAATAGCGATTCAGATCACGGTGAAGGGGTCAGTACTGGAATCCGCACAGCACCAATGGGTAGGGCTAGATCTATAAATGCAAGGGGATGTCGTGGGCGCGATCAATCAGGGTCAAGTTGGAGGGTGGAACACACCTCAAAGTTTACATGGTGCAATAGCTGTAATTCCTAACAAACATTTACAAAAACTACATTCAATTTCTAACAAAAACTGCCGAATTTCCTTAAAACCTAAGAGTAAACGTAACAAATACAGCACTTTGAAATGTACACCCTGAATTCCAACTCATATGGCGCAGCAGCCCCAGGAAGAGTACAGAGTCCGAAGAGGTACAGCCAGGATCAAAAGAGTTAAATGGATTTAGGAAGAGGTGATCTCTCTGTGTTTCCTAGTTTTCCTCCTTGTTCTCCTTTGCCGAGCGTCTGCAAAACGTGAAAGTTTGGTTTTAGTACAAAAAGCATGAGTATTACGGCACTTGCAACTCGATAAGGTCATAAAAGTGCCAAAGATTAGGTGTTACAAGAGGGTAACAGTAACAAACAAAAAAAAAAAAGGAGAGATAAGGACGACAGTTGTTTGATAGGAAGGAAGGAGCAAACCACACCAGAGCACTCGTGAACCACTATCACAAACCATGAAAGAAACAACGGGTTGCCATGTTTGTATGAGTAAAGACAAGCACCTTGACTCAGTAAGTTAAGGGCAATGATAGTACATAACAAGATGGGCCACTTCTCTCTTTGAGCCAATTAAAAAAGTGTCCTCAAAATTTGGTGGCGCCCTCTTCACAAAAGCGCACTCTTTGCGAACAGAGTTACCCTACTTGAGTTGTTAAAAATCAACGTGAAACTATCAAGTTTTGGGATAAATTTCGGAAGAACGCTTTTTAAAAATGATTACGCTGACAAAAAACCTCTTCCGGAGGAAAAGGAGATGGTTTTCTTCGTTTAATTTGACTTTAGAATGAAGGGCGAGAGGTCATTAAAATAAAAAATAAAAACCTAAGACTCCGCACTGAACGTACCCGAACCGCTGATGAACAGCAGTCGATCTGCGCACGCAAGGAGGTGCTATTTCTATTCTTCTTCTGGAAAAACGAAAGAGAGCTTCAAAACAGACTGCAGCGCCATCTGAAGCAAAGAGCATACTTCCTGCGGACACTTTTTAGGCTGAGTGGCCCATCTTGTCTTGTACTATCTTTGTTAAGCATCATTTAATGCAGGGTAAAGATAATACTGTGAGACAGATAGAAACAAGTGTGTGTGTGTGTGTGAGCGAGAGAGAGAGAGAGAGAGAGAGAGAGAGAGAGAGAGAGAGAGAGAGGGAGGGAGGGAGGGAGGGAGAGGGAGAGAAGAAACTGGCTGAAAAGAGAAGGAATTCCTGATGACAGGTCACAGAAATAGTTGCACACACACAGACTGGGAGACACAAACAAACACACAGACACACAAAGTGAAAAAGTCTGTGTAAAAGCAACTCACGTTAATGGCACCACGGAGGCTGTGTTTCTTTTTTTAGGGAGAGGTACTCCGTGCTGCTTCAGCTGTGTCTGTGGATGTAGGGAGACAGAGACAAGAGATAAGTTATGGTTGAATTGAAGGGCCAGTTTTCAAAACTCGGCAAGTCAGTTTTGATGAGCGCCTTATTTCACAAACAATGCCACACAAATACATAGTATGCATACATGCATATTATCTATATATAAAAGTGGACTTGGGAGGCTTTGTGCACAAACTCCTTTCTTATTGCCTAACCTACACCTTTGAAACTTTGCAGGCGTCCACAGCATCCATGTGGCTAGGACCTAACTATAAAAAATCCACGCAAACTGCTTTCCCCCATTTTTCCAAAATGCTTTGTTTCGTCAACACAGAGTTCTAGGCCTAGGTAACTAGGCCTAGGTAACTTTCGATCAACAATTTCGCAGTCTTATTATTTAAAAACCGGCTGTGAGATTTCCATTCACTAGCAGCACGCATTGGTTCCACACTTTTGAAATCCTGGAGTGTACAACCACGAAAGCAGAATAGATAATCAATCTATACATCTATTTGGCAACTTGGAAACACATGAATGTGTCACTTTTCTCTCAAAATTTATTGCTCCATTCCAGTAGAGTGTAATTATATATTAGGCCAATGACTTTCAGTTGATGTTAATGCACCAATCATTCCTTTCATCGAAAGGGGACCCAGCTAGTTTAATATTCATGTGTATAATACATATATATACACATGGGTAAACACTTATCTATGCACATGTGTATATATAAATCGGTATCTTAGAATTACGAAGTTTTATCTGCTCAGTACCTAGTTTGGAGAAATTTGATGTAAAAAAAATTTTTTGCTTCATAACATGTCAAGCTTTTTCGAATGCAATTCTTGGAATATCTTGATTAACGACTGTTACGGTTTTGATAAAGCAGATAGAACATTTGGTTTCTGACCTCTTGGTCTTAGTAACTCAAAACGGCCAAAAATGTCAGGTAGAACTTTGTAATTCTAAGGTAGCAATATATATTTATTTATATATAATACTATTCATCATCATCAATGCCTTTCACCCCTGGCAGGGTATAGGGCACATACAAGCTCCTTCCATTTATCTGTCATGGGCCATCCTTCCAAGCTCATTCCAAGTGAGCTTCATCTCTCTCATGTCCCTTACCACGCATCTCCTCCATGTTTCCCGTGGCCTACCCCTGTCTCGTGCTCCTTGAGGGTTCCACTGCAGTGACTGTCTTGTGATGTTTCCGCTGGGTTTTCTTAAGGTGCTTTGTTAAGGTGTGTCCCATCCATCGCCACTTTCCAGACTGGTTCAAGCGAGTCTTGCTGATTCCCAGTATGTGTAGTTGGTATAGGTGCATCTCCTGGAGGACCTGTGCAGTGTTTCCAGTCTCATAAAGGGTCCTAACGTTCCACGAGCCAATCCAAAGAGACTTGGACTTGGATGATGATTGAGGCTTCTGCAAAGTAGCTTCCTTTCGGCTTTCAGTCTTGCGTCATAAAATCTCCATTCGGGGAAGATCCACGATCAGCCAAGCAGAGATAATGGTTTTTGCTTGTATGTCGTTCTGTAAGTAACAGGTTCTTTTTGCGAGAGAGCTTACTAGTCTCGTGATAATACTATTAATACACATAAATCGTTTTGTTTGGGTTAAAGGAAAAATGACACAAGAAAGGCCATTTACTGCAGGATGGGGGGGGTTAGGGGTAAATTATGTTTTTTATAATTCAGAATTCACCTCCTCTGTCAACACTGCTTCTGTGTAGCCTACTTCTTTTTCAAGGGCCAGAAGGAGATGGTGTGGGTGAGAGGTGATAACATTATATTTGAACGGTTCACTCGGAGGCGATAAGAGCAGGAAAAGCAAACACCAATACAACGAGGAAAGAGAGCGCAGAAAAGACAAATTAATCGTGGTATCAGAAATGTGTGAGTGTGTGTGTGTGTGTGTGTGTGTGTGTGTGTG